AGATCTTTGGACTCAACCAAAGAACCTATTACTGAATCGATGAATGGATACACAGGCATCAGTTGGAGCAGCTCCTGCTCCAGTTTGTCTGGCTCCATGGAAATGTGGGACTGGTGACGCCTCCTTCCCAAAGTATTGTCAATAAATGCAGCAGAGATTTCACTCTTGAAGTTTGTGACTGGGAGGAAGACAGCAGGCAGAGGAATCATGTACTCATGTATTTTTCCATATCAGCTAATACTTAAATCAGGAATGTCACTTTCTGCTTCCAAACTTTACTTCCTTATATTATGTGGTATATTTTCTTTATTGTTTCTTAAACTGTTTACAAAAGTTTTATATGACCATTTAAAAAGAAACATGTTATAAATAATATGAAAATATGAGCATACATGTATTCATTCAAAAGCAATAGTTTCCTATAATCTGCCTTCCCCTAGAAACCATATTAATAGTTTACTATTTATATTCCTCTAATCCGCAGTTCTCAACCTGTGGGTCGCAACCCCTTTGGGGGTCGAACAACCCTTTCACAGGGGTCGCCTAAGACCATCGGAAAACAAAAAGATATTTACATGACGATTCATAACAGTAGCAAAATTACAGTTATAGAGTAGCAACAAAAATAATTTTATGGTTGGGGTCACCACAACATGAGGAACTGTATTAAGGGGTCGCGGCTTTAGGAAGGTTGAGAACCGCTGCCTAAATAGTTTTGCTATGTATATACTAGCCTATGTATTATTAGTTATAACAATGTGATACTATATATTTTACACCGGAATATATCTTGGATATCTTTCCATGTATAGATCTCTCAATATTTATTGGAAGATTAATTCTCCATTTCTTAACATTTTGGTAGTTTTTCAGTAGTGAAGTCGTAAGAATGTATTAAGTCACAGATCTCTATAAGAGTTGAGAAATTTGAAGAAACCTCAAGGTCAAGCAAGGTCCTTGAATGCAAGTTTATTTATCTGCCCATGAAAAGTAACAAACATTTCTTGGGGTGAGGAATGGATATATCAGAATACTTGGGAGACAGAGGTGGGCAAAAATGGCTGCGGATTTTTACTAGAAGTTATAACCCTGAACAAGAGTCAAATGAAAGGACCTGATCCCATATTCTCCCACGCAGCTTGGGCTGTAGACTCAACACAGCACAGATGTAAATACCTATCTGATATTAGTGTCATAACCAGCTATTGAGTTTTAAGAGACTCAGAAGCCATTAGAACTGATGGAGCCTCTGGGAGCATATATTTAGTTTCAGATGGAAAGGGCCTGAGGGCCACCTTGGAAGAATGAGGGAGGGAGGAGAAGGTAGTTGTGGGAAGGGTCTGGGAAGAAACCAACCCAGAGCTTCAACAGAGCAGTTTCACTTTCATCTATTTCTATATTAAGATGACTATTTTAGTTGAAAATTGGATTATGTTTCCTCCTCAAAAGTTCTGACCATTGACCTAGCCCATTTCATTTTTAGAAATGGAAAAAAAACACAAAAAAAAAACCCTAATACCTTAGACAAGTGATTTATCCCAAGGTCACAGAGCCAGTAATTGACAGAGACTAGACCTTTAAGTATCCTAACTCCAAACCCAATGCATCAGGGTACTTTGAAGGTTGAATTTACCTCAGTCACAAAGGCAGTTGGAGGGGGGAGGAGATATTTGGCTGGGACAAGTGGAGTAGTAAATCTAAAGAGGGATTGGGTGTAGAAAATGTTAAAGAACCAGTACTCTCTAATCACATTGCTTTAAATATAATCAAAGGGGAAAGAAAGTAATTGGAGACCTAGAGAAACTGCAACCTATTATAAAACACCGTAATGCCTGTTCGCTCTTGGAAGAGCTGATATCTGCCTTGGGGCCCTTCCCTGAGGGTGCTACAGACTCAGCTAATGGTAACTAGAATTTGCAAATGTTCAGTGACTCACAGGGTGTACGGCCCAACCTGTGGTACATCAGAAATGTTTAAAATTAACAAGAAAGAAAAACATTTAAACTTTCAGTGGTAACAAATCTGGTAGCAAGTGTGAAGAACTATTATGATTATTCCTCTGGATCTCATTTCTTTATCGGGATAGAGGACCCCATTGGTTGTTGTCAACTCTAAAATTGTATGATTTTGTGATTTGTTTTAAATTTTAAAAGCCATTTTAATTAGAAAGTACATCCTCCATACAGGTGTTTTGTGTGATTTTTAGTTACCTATCTCTACACTCACGGTCAGGAAAACCAAATCTCTGCCCTAGACTATGCCCTCACTGAAGACTAAAACTGTCACCGTACTTAACATATATGCCAGCTGTCCCTCAAATGCAGTGAGATGTCATTTGATGAATATTAGAGCCCTTGATCTCTCTTTTCTATTAAGAAACTTAATGACATCCAATCATTTAAATAGACACGTCCTAGATTGCTGGCAGTTAGTTACAAATCCTTCCAAATGTATGAGACCAAGAGCAATTCTGACTAGAAAGCAGATCTATTTTACAAATGAAAAAACAGGCATAGAGCAGAAAAGACCTCAAGGTCACTATTTACAAATCACAGGATAACCAAGGAATAGCACCAAGGTTTGCTTTGTATTTTCTACTTTATCTCTTTCTTCCAGACCCAAAAGAGCTGGCTGGCATTTGACAAACAAATGCCCTTGGCATTTTTCTGTTTTTCTATCATAGTCTCCTCCATAGGACGTACTGAGTCCAATCTGGTCTTAGGTGAGAAACAGCCTTACTTGTACAGGTATGATATAGTTGTGAGGGTCTGAGAAGAATGTCCCGCAATCAGTCATTCACTTAACTTATGTTTATTGAACTTGTCTGCTACGTGCCTGGCATGACTCTAGGTGCTGAGAATACAGAAACGTACGAGTGTCTCCAAAGTCCCCACCTTGTAGCAGAGGAGAAAGATAGCAAACACGAACAAATAGACACAGAAGGTCAAGCAAGCTAAGTGCTATGAAGACGCATAGCGCCAGCAAGAGGGAGGGAGGCTATTTGGGATTGGGGGGTTTGGTTGGAGAAGGCCTCTCTGAGGTGACAGTGGAACAGAGCCCAGGAGGGGGTGAGGGAATCAAGTCCTGTGAATTTCTGGGCTTCCTTTCTCAGCCTCCCCTCAAGTGTGATCTGCAAGCAATGAATATTCCACCTGGCTGAAACAAAAAGATGCTGGTCGGGGTCCTCACGCTCCATCCTGCATAAGTTCACCCTTGACAATAACAATGCCTTTCCGATCAGACTACATAAAGGCTGTTGGATTCAGGTTGAACATTAGCCTCAAAACTGCTTCATCACTAAAAACATTTACAGTAGGAAAGTACCTGTTGAAAATGCAACCAACAGTATTTATAAGAAACTGTATTAGAGGAAGCACACTTACACTGGCTGACATTTAATACTGATAAGTGTTGCTATGGTTTGTAGCTGGGAGGGTTCTGGGGCCTTGGTTAACATGTAAGCTCTCCTTTAAAAGCTGTCTCAAAAAGAATCCACCTGGCTTAAAGCACTGGCATGCTGATCCTTTATCATAATGATATGATAGTTTAGGGTTTGATTTAAATCGATAATGGATTGCACATCTGTCCTATAGATACTGTCAGTTGATGACTTCCCGGAGGAAGCCCAAACAGAATGAAAAAGGAAAAAGGAAATCTAACCTAGGTATTCATGGTTAACTTCACAGCTCCTCAGAGGAAAGTGGTAACCTTTGAAGTCCTCCACACCACCCTCCCACAAAGCCCCACACAACCGGAAGGCCAGAGGAGCTCTATCTTAGAACTGTTTCAGAACTGTCCTTAAAACTGGAATCTATATTGGCCAGCAGAGCTGATCTGAATTACAAATCTTGTCGTCTCAATCAGTGTTTCCAAACTAGCCTACCAACAGAGCCACAATTTTATTTTTGTCTCTGCCACTTTAAAAAAGTAACAGAAAAAGCAACTTCTCAGCTGCCTTGCTTTGCAGCAGAGATAACAGAAATTGGCCAGTTATTTACTTGACTGCTCTATTTATGGTAACTTGTTTGTATATTTTTAAATCACAGTTACAATGGGCTATTGTTCAGTCTACACAGTAGAAACATATATGTTGCAAACCACTCCCAAGGAATCCAGATGGTACAAGGATTTCTTTTCTTTTACCTAAGAAATGAAAGTAGAATACCAAAGGAATTGGTAACCATTTTAAGTTGCTTTTATTTGCTAGCATTTTATAAAATGGCAAAGCTCTTAAATATTGCCTCTTTTTCTCTCCTTTCCTTTGGCATTTTATCACCTTGTGATAAGGAGGCTATTGGACAAATTAAAATGTGTAGTTCAGAAGACATTCAGACCTCTGCTGCAGATTATTACTAATCTATCTTTTCTTTCTGGGCTTGCTTTGAGGTTCTGTTTTTGCTTTTCTTGGGCCTTTCTGTGGACACCTAATGCCACGCTTCACTTGCTCTTAGTGTACCTAGAAATAGCTCAGAAACAAGAATATCCTTAAGTATAGGGCACGTTCTTGTGTTTGAATGATATTCACTTAACCTACTTATAAAAACTCTCATTCATGTAGTTGATTAAGTGCATCCCGTGGCCTGGCTCCTTTTCTTTTGCTGTTATTTACTGATAAAAATAAATCTCTTGCGCTACGCAGTAGGAATCACTCCGAAATGCAAGAAAAGTCCTAAGGGGGGAATTCATATGTTAATGAGCCCTTCCAAGTGAAAACTTGGTTAAACGTTCCATTTGCTGACATCATTGTTATGGGCAGAGTGGAGATGATTTCTTTAAGAGGTGGCTTTGCATATTCTCCCAGCGTTTTGTGGTCCGCGCGTGCACCTGCGGGAGGGGGAAGTTTACATAAGCGTCCTGGGGTATTTGCCTCTCAGCTGCTCCACTCACTAGGCTCAAAGCAATGGAGCCAGCGGACGGAGGTAGGTGCTCGAGCCGCGAGGCTGGCCAAGTGGGTGGGTAACTTTTCGAGGAATAACGTACTCGCGGGACCTCGTGGAGACCTGCCAGGGGCACGGTCAGCAGTGACAGTTCCTGGAAAGAGGGCGGCGGCGAGATCTGGCTCGGCAGGCGCCTCCTGCGGACCGGAGCTGGGAGCAGAGCCGGGCTGGCATCGTGAGCAGCCCGGCCCGCTGCGCTCGGCGGAGGGTGGACCGGCAGGAAGCGAAATGGTTACTTTTTTTAATGCGGGGTCTGGTTACTTTTGAATATCGCCGGCCTCCGGCGGGCTCCCGGCGCAGAGCAGAGACGAGGGTTTTTCTCTCCGCGGTGCAAGATCCTGGGGAGACGCAGAGCTGGGGCGTGGGTGATGCGGTGGCCTGGACGAGGTGACTCAAACACGGGAGAGCGGAGTGGGCGACGCTGGTGGGGCCGGGGGGAAGGGGTGTCTCCGGGGAGCAGGAGGACCCTTTGCCGGGACCCCCACGGTTGATTGGGGGGCTTGCAGGGGTGAGAATCGCCGCGTTGCACCGAAAGGGGTCTCGGCGAATACGGGCCGGGGGAGAGTGGGTTACGGCGCGGCGGGGGCGGTGGCGACCCCTCGCCCGCCGGGCGGGGCCAGCGCTGCACCGCGACGGGGGCTCGGCCCACCGTGGTTTAATGGGGGCCCTCGGCTCGCTGCTCCCGCCCCACCGTCCCCTCCCTGCTGGGGTCTCCTCCGGAAATGGATGGGCGAGGGTGACCTGGAGGGCACCCAGCCCTGTTTTCCTTCGGGAGCCACCCCGCGCCGGCCGCTAGCCTCGGCGGTTCGCAGAGCGGGTAGGAGGCGAGTGCGCGCCGAGGGGCTCGGGGGTACGCGGGCCGTGGCGGGCGCCGGGAGGGGCTGCAGGCCGCGCTCGGCCCCGCCGCCGCAGGTGGGAGCCGCTGTCTGGGTCCCGGGGCTTGATGGCAGCCGGGCGACGGGGACTGAACGCCGAGGGCTGCAGGGGTGCGCGCGTCGGTGCGCGCCCGCGGGGAGGTGGCTTCTCGTCGGAAGTTGGGGCATAGACGTGGGGCCCCTCGGCCGCTCGGTACCTCCGTCCAGCCGCGGGGCGAGTCCCTTCCTTGGAGGTGACGCTGCGGCGAGAGGCGGCGCGGGGCTTTCTTCTAGAAGTGGGTAAGAGGGGTTCGAAGGTGACTCTGCCTCCGGGGGCAGGGGGGCTCTTCTCGACCGGCTTCGCGTCGGCGCCAGGGAGGGGTTCGTCCCCAGCCACTGGATCTGGAGCTCGGCCTTGGTGCGGGAGGCCGGGGAGGCAGAGAGGGGCCTCGGGGACCGGTGCGACCCGCGGCCCGGGGCGCCCCCTGGCGGATCGAGCCACCACCGCCGCGCGGAGGGCAGGGACTGCGGGACGCAGGGGGCGCTGACGCCTGCTCCAAGGTGTCTTTTCCTGATGCGGGCGTGGGTTAACCCAGCGGGGCCTCGGCAGCCGCCGCCGCCGCATTTTCCCGAAGAAGGGTAACATCCTTTCCCTCCGGCTCCCCTGCCAACCCCGTTTTCAAAAGCTCGGGTTTTTCACATTAATCTATGTCAGTATAAACCAGGCTATGTGTGGAATTTGTTTTTACAACTCGAGTCTTGTGACTTCTCAAACACTTTCTTGAAGTGTTTTCTCTGGAAACTTGTTTCAAATGAATGCTGTACGTTTCACAAAGAGGAGTGTTGTTCAGGAGCCAACAGGTGACAGGGTGAAACCTGAGTCTGTGTGTACATTGGAGTCAAGTCAGCCTGCCGTTTCCTTGGGCCGCTGTTGAAAATAGAAATTCAAAAAATCAATAGGCGACTGACTGGAACACGATTTTGAAAAGATCTGCGTCCCCCATTATGGAAAATAATGAGTTCATTAGAACAGTGCCTTGCGTGGTCCGCCTCACACCACAGCATGCGTTTTGTATTTTGTCTTTATATTCCGGTTTACAGCCAAATAACCCGACCCCAAAAAAGCGTCGCTCTGGCAAAGGACCATGCTTTGTCATCATGTTTCCTCCTTTTGTTAAGCAGTCTGTCTTACTGTCGTGGAATGTATTTGTGCATGAAATTAGAATGCTTTGAAACCCTGCAGAGTCCACATTTCCTCTTGGAAAAAATGGATAGCTTCTTGGCAATTGGATGGTACATGACAGGCCACTCAGCTGTTGGAAAAATGTACAAGTTGGATGGAGGTTTACCTGGAAAACACAGAAAATGCCAAAGGGCACATGGCTTAAGGCCACTAATTGCTGGTATGAAGTAGTTTTAATAAAGAAAAGTTTTGCAAGTAATAGCTTCAGATACCTTCATTATGTTTTTATTTTTAATTTTTTATATAAAATTTATTTTTTTTATTACAGTTACCTTTACAGTTCATTTCAATCTAAGTAAAACTGAATTGTGCTCTGTTGGCAGTGACTTTTTTCTTTAGCTGACCATAGGCATTGAGTGCTCTTTGGGTGTGTGAAAACTTTAGAGATAACAGTTTAGTGTCTCTTTACTATGAAATTCAAATCTTGATTGTAATCATTTTGATACCTGAGGCTTTTACAGGTCTAAGGTTTTTTGGGTTTTTTTTTAAAGTTTTCAGTTCAGGACACCATAAACAAGGAAATATGTATATCCACAAGGGTTGTATATTTTATGTGTTGGAAAGAACGGAAGTGTTACAGGTTTCTGTGATACCAAATTAGTCTGTAGTTAAATTTAATTCACCTCATATTTAGCCTGGAAGAACTAGAGTAGGTGTTGATTGGGCATGTGTGATCTGCATCTTCGTGTTAACAAGTAGTTTAACAAAGAAGTTGTTAAACGGTTTGTGGTCCACTGGATGACACTTAGCAGCAGGGGACACCTAGGGAATGTTAACCCAACTGACTTCACAAATCAGTATCTCTTCTGGTTTTTGTTGATCAAAGGATTTCTAACCCCCCCTGGGCATGTTCACACAAGAAATACTTTTTCATAGGGATCCTACCATGCCAGGGTAGCCTGCATGTAGGAATCAGAGTGGAATTACATTGGGAAAAGTATATATTTGTAATTAGGGGTATGACCTTAGAGTTCATTTTCAGTAGCAGGCACTAAAAATTATTCTGTTTTCTATCTGCATGATTTTGATTTGATTTGGTGACTTGGTCCAAGAAAATGATGACTAATAGGAACCATACCAGAACTGATGTATAGTTATCACCTCAATATATATATCTGATTGAATTTATTCTCCTCAACCCCCTCAAACCCTCACTCCCCTTCTGACTTGTGTATGTAACATTTCCTTATTGGTACATCATCTTTCAATCACCTAAAACTCAAAAGTATATTTGACCGTTTCTCCCTTCCCTTTTGATTCTTTTTTCTTTCCCAGAGCCACCATGTTCGGCTAATGGGCCCCTCACGTGTTCCTTTTTGTTTCCTGACCACCACTGTCCTGTTAATTTTCTTTAAGACCAGGAGTGGCACCCTCCTACTCGTATGCCTTAGGTCCTTTCCCATTGCTTGTAGGGTTAAGTCCAATGTCTTCTGTCTGATAACAACTGTAATTCTTGAAAATGTTATTTTAGTGCTACCGTTGCCATCTATTGTTGCTTCTTTGGAAGAACCTGTCCTCTAGTGAATTTGTCAACTCTTTACTGCCTCTGGACATTCATACACTGTGCTGATCTATTAAGTTTTTTAGGGAAAAAATAGTCAAAGCTAGATTATGTATATGTCAAGGTCAATTAAAATAATAATTCTTAGGTATCCTGGATGCAGCATACAGCTCAGTAGAAAATAAATGCTCTCCAAGTGACCAAAATAACATAGCAAAATAATAAAGCTGCTTTAAGTTTGAATAACACCTTCAAATACTGTTTGTTATCTTATTTAACCAGTGATTACTGTGCTTATGGGCGGAATGCCTAAGCCCTTGTCCACAGCATAATTCTCTATGCTTTTAGACAAAGTTTTTTAAAGACTGGCTGCCTAATTTACAGAACATTGAGAGCAGGAAGAAAAAAAAAACTATAAAAATTTATCCCCCATCTTAAAATCATGTATCTGGTGCCATGCAGCTCTAGACAGTGGCCTTACATTGTGAGATAGCCCTTGAACCCCTTGTATTCTAGGTGAGTATCTAGGTTCCCAGGTCACACCCAGCTGGATGGCTGGATTAGAACTCTTGTTTCTTAAATCCTGAAGCCAGTGTTCTTTCTACTGTTCATTTTCTACTCAAAATGAGAACCAATAATCAACCAAAGGCTAAATTGCATAATTTACACACAAACCACCATTAAGGAAAGCAAGGGAATGTATAATGGAATTTGGAAATGTTCTTATCACGATGGATACTTTTTTTTAAAGTTCTGGCTTTTAATGGAATGAATGTCAGTTACCTTCTTTTTGATATTTCTCAGAACCATTCAGTACTGGTCTCTAAATATAATGATGAATGAATGAATGGAGTGACTGCATCTGGAAAGTAAATTTCATGAGGAACCTGTCATTACATCACTGTGTTAGACGAATGAAGTCATACTCCACTTTGGGGAACACGTGCCACCTCATAGCCAGGCATAGACTGGTTACTTACAGTCATTGCTCTAAGACAACTGGAAAGACTGTGCCATGCTCTGTAGACCATTATACATGCTGTGAGTGCCTGTGTGTGTGTGAGTGCACACGCTATGTATAGTAGTGTCAGAAATTATGTGTAGGGACTTGTTAGAAATTGACTCCTCGGGAGTTGGGAATGGTGGCCAGTAGTTTTGCAAAACTGTTTGATCCTCAGGAAACGAGAGCATCCCCAAACTCAAAAAACAAACAAACAAAAACAATGAAACTCACATGTCAACCTTCAGTCTTTTTCATTAACATGTTCTTATTCCGGATGTCGCTGGTCAGCTTTAAGAAAGTCTATGCCGTCACAGTGGAAGTAACAATGCCAATTGGTACAAGTCCATAATAACTTTAATTCCTTATAGTCATATTTTTTTTTTCTTCTTTAAGACTCTTTCCTATCCTTAGATCATCTTTGGGAGGAAAATAGTTGCCATTTTTAAAGAACCAGGCCCCAAGACGTTTGGTGGCTTTGTCAAAGGCCTGACAACTTAAGGGCTGACTTTGCTGAATGCTGAGAGCATCAGATTCCATTCCTTAGGTATTGCTCAGTCCCTTGGGTCAGATGCTCTCTTGACAATTATATGATGATGGAGAGGTCATACATCTGAGAGCTGTTTGTCTTTGAGTCTTTTTAAATGGTGAGAAGTAGTTACTTAACTGTTCTGAACAAAAAAGGGTGAGAAAGGACAAAGGAGGGAAGTGGAACTCTTCCACTTTGGGTTGCGTGGCTTGCGCGGAGGTACTCCCACCATAATCCTTGTCTTTCTAAGCATAAAACATCTCATCTGTTCATACCCAACCTTGGGCTTCTTTCTCCCCTCCCTGCATCCATGTGTCCTTTTCTTCTGTTTGTCATTCATTTCTCTCCTTGACTCTTGTAGTTGATGTTTAGTCTTCTCTTCAAAATAACATCCACAAATAACTCATAACCTGCTTGAATTTAATTCAAATACCTGTTCTCTGTGTTTGAGCTCAGTGCCATCTTTGATGGCGTTGTTCGATCTTATAGGTGTCGCCTTCTTCTGCACATTCCCTTAATGTCAGACTGTTTGGAACCTCAACAAACCCATCCCTGAAATTTGTCTTACTTTCCCCGGCATTATGAGACTTATATTGACCATTTCTTTCACAGAGGCAGACCTAGCACAGAATTGGTTAATGTGTAATTTTTATTTATGTGTGATTCAGTTCATTCAGCTTATTACTGCATTTCAAGACCAGGATATTATAATAAACCTGCCTCCCAGTAATCATAGAATACCGATGGTTTAAACTATTTTGGCTTTTTATTCTATTTATCTACGGCATCTAATATGATGCCTTGCACATTGGGTTTTTTTTAAATAAACATTTTATTAGAAGATAGGTTTCATTTCATTGTGGTTAGGTAAGAACATGCAAAAAATACACCCTCTTAAATGGTTCCCACAAAAGTTGTGTGTGTATGTTTGTGAACAAGAGGAAGAGGAGGATAAAGCAAATGAAGCAAAATGTGAACTGTTGTTGAGTCTGTGTAAAGGCTACATAGGAGTTCCTTATTCTTGCAATTTTTCTGAAGTTTGAAATTGCATCAAAATGAAAATTTACAAAGATAAATAAAACACAAAATAAAGGACAGGGCCAATCTTTTCCATCTAAGTGGTTCTGCAAAACAAAACAAAACCAAACCCCCCAAACTTGCAAAAACGTTTCACCCTATGTCATAACCCCAACTTTGAATAGTTCTCGTTCCATGGTAAGTTAGCTTATTTTATAAGTAAACCTGATTTGTGTCCCTCTTTCACATGATCAACATTAAGAGACAACACCTGGGAATGAAATTAATAGAATTCTTCTATTAGATCTAAATTCACCCATGGTTTCATGTTTGGCCTGAAAGGTGGTATTTTGGCAGACCAAACAGCCATGTTTACATGTCATTAGGAAGACCTTTCATCATGTCCCACAGCATAAGTAATGGCTAGGCTCCCCATTTTCTTTTATGTGGTCAAAGCAAATACCATATAGTAATGTAAAGGCCTATGCAAGGGATATTTGTGAGATCATATTTTTACTTACCATTTGCATTTTAACTTTTTACAAGTGCAAGACAAGCTCAGCAAGCAGTCAGTTGCTTTCATCTGATGTAGCATGAGACAGTGATATACTTAAGAATATATTCTCTGGGTCAGCTGACAGGTACAAGTCATATTAAAAAAGAAAAAAAAAAGAATCCAAATTCAAGGTTTTTTTTTTTTTGCTTTCAGGTAAAGAAAAACAGTAGCTAGTGGTAATGTAGCATCTCTTACCACAACATGCTAATTGGAGGTTATGCTATATTTAATGTTTATTTTTTGGTCACCTCTGAGAACTTGTTAATAAATGTAATGTTTTGTCATTTTAAGTCATTATCCTTTGACATAAAGGAAAAAGAGAGGCTTTCTCCAAAGAATGAACTCGAACCAACATAAGGCCATTGAATTTTTGTAATCCTTTTTGACTGTATGTTCCAGGCAAAGTGGACTCTGTCCCCTCCAGTTATGTCCTTTGCATGCCTACAGTGCAGCAGCATGGCTAGTTCACCAAAGAAAACGGAATTGGCTCAATCAGGTTCCACCCCTAGGATGCAGCGCCGGGTTGTTACAGGTTTTAAGATCACAGGCCCAGTTCTAAGGCCACTGCTTGTTAACCTACTGACCTTGGACAGTTGACCTAGGACAAATCATTCTCAGGCTTTTTTCTCCTCTATTAAGCAAGATATGCCCTCATTGGGTTGTTTCATATGGTGATTAAATGCCATAACACTAACAAGAGAGGCCCAAAGGAGTATGTTAGCTGTCAGAGTGCCAACAAACGAAACTGAAAGCTTTGTCTGTGACAAAAATAACTTGGTCACTCATCTTGCTTCAGTTGTACTCCTCACACTGTCGATGAATGACAACCCTCAGTGTAGTTTGTAGAAAGGCTGGAAGGAATGTCAGAGTTGGAGGCTTGAGATACAGCCAGCAAATCCAGACGATTGGGAGGGGTGGATCATGGCGTTTTCATGCTCAAGTTGATTTACCTTGATTAGGATAGTAATTTACTGTACATTTTCCACAAAAGGCTAATCAAGAAATACAACCGTAGAAGTAATTCAGATCTTTGGCAGTCTGCGTCTTTGTGCTACCTTGGACAAATCCACTGTGTGTCTTCATTTGTGGTATTTTTTTCTTGATTTATATAGGATAGTGACATTTAAGTTTTAGGTTCTATTTAATATTTATGTTATTTGTAAGTTTGTGCAGAGTAGGTACCTTAGTGTCTCCCTCCTCAGCCAGATTTGTCAAGGGACAAATATGCATATTTCATGATTCAGGTTAAATTGCATTGAAGGCACCCATTTTCCTGGTAGAGGTTTTTGAGTTACTAATTGAATTTTTAACCTAATTGACCTCTCTTCCTTTGACATGTGGGAGGGTTTTGTTTGTTTGTTTGTTTTAAACAAAAGGGAAACACTAGATCCAAGACATTTTCTGACTTTTGTTAACACATCCTTTTTTATTGAGGAGTAAAGAGGAATGCGCCTGTGTTTAGAAAGGCTTTCCTAAATCAAGACATGAGTGAATTGCACCTGTGTGAAATGATGACTTTTTTAAAAGGTCATAACCTCCCAATTGTAGTGTAGGAAATGAAGTCCTCTTTACTTTTTGTTCAGAATGAATGAAAGTTAAATTTATTAGTTAGAATAATATCTACTGTGATATTGCTCTTACTGCTAGTCAAGATTGTAGCTATTGGATGTTTGGCCTTCCATTTGTGAACTGTTATAACTTTCATTGTTGTATGTCCTTTGACTTAGAAAAATCGCAAGTTTTAACAATCATAGGTTTTAATAGATAACAATTTTTAGCACTATAAGTATTAAGAGTTGCGTTGAGATAGTCACTGAAAAATGACTTAGTCTCAGGCTGAAAAGTATGTGGGTTTTTCCTACTTGTTTAAGCAAACGAGAATTTTTTTAAGGCAGAAGAACTTTTGGATAGTGTGATGTGTCAGGCATGTAGTATGACTTAGATTCTGGCTTTTAGCTGTGTGACTTGCGCATGTCACTGAACTTCCCTGAGCCTTGTTTCCTCTAAAATTGGGTTTGACTAATTATAATTTTCTTTGTTTTTTTTTTGGTGGAGGGAAAGGGGCGGGTATAAAAAGCTGCATCTGATTCTGAAAGTTTTCTACCGTTGTTTCTTCTTAGGGCTGTGGGATGAGGGATGATTTTTTTTAAATCAGAAGAAACCTCCAAGAACATAAATGGTGATAACAAACTTCCTGGGTTGTGGGGCAGGGACTGTTACCTGACACCTTTATAGCCCTTCATCTGAGGAGACTTTTCATTCAGAGCCAGATTTCCATCTTAACTTTGCCCAGTAGCAGGCTGGTAGCGTGTCACGTAAAGTAGGTACTGCGTAATGTTTCAGTGAATGCCTGCTAATAATGCAGTTCAACACCAATGGTCACCAAACTGGATTTCATGTTAACCTAGTGCTTGGATTCCCTGGCTTTGTGTTGAGGGAACTCATCGGTGAACATCTGGCTGACTTCAGCCCATGGATAGTAAACACTTGTGGCTTTACTGTGCTATATAAGGACTTAACTGTAATTTCTACTCAATGAGTAAACTAAGTTTAGTGTCTCTCAAAACGTTATCAGAAACCTGAAACCTAAGCAGTTTGGCCCAGTGGACCCACTCTGTGCAGGTAGCGGTGCCTCAGTGGGGAAAATCGATGAGGACACGGGGAGCCGAGTAGGGTCCCTGGAGCCATTTTTCATAGTTGCGGACGAGGCAGAGGAGGTGCGAGCCCCAACATATTGGATACTTTCTCTGGGCCCAGCTGTGTGTAAACAGGCGTTCAATAAAAAAGCTCTTGGAGGGTGCGAGGAATGCCTTCAGGTTTTTCATTTGTCTTTCCTTATGTTGTCCACAGCAGCCGTTGTTTGATGTCCTGTGCCTGATAAAACCGGCTGTTTAACTTTATTATGCCTTTGGAGATGGAGCCCAAGATGAGCAAACTCGCTTTTGGGTGCCAGAGAAGCTCCACGTCAGATGATGACTCTGGCTGTGCGCTGGAGGAGTATGCCTGGGTGCCCCCTGGCCTCAGACCAGAGCAGGTAAGAGCCGGAGCATCCTGTGTTCTGGTTTTCAATGAGACTCAAGATTTTTAAAGAATTTCTAAAAAAGCATTTATAGACCATCACTGCCACCCTGACATGCTACTGTTCTCAGTCCTTATTCTTCTTTGGAGACTTCCATTTTTACTTAAGGTTCTACCTATTTCTCAATGAAAGTTTTCAGTCCCTTTTGTGCTCATGGAGCCAGAAGCCCTATAAGGATGCTGTTTTTGCTCTTAATGAATGAAATACAGAGCACTGCATGTGCATTTGTTATGTGGATTTCTGACGAGTCCCTTTGGAGAGGATGAGAGGAATTTATTAACCTTTTCAAAAACTTCAGTAACAACAGAAAGATAATAAAAAAGCAAAGCTTCAATGCCAGTTCTCAGCAATGTTTTAGCTCTGGAAGAGAGGAAGCACAGGGCTGTAAGAAACCCTCTGAAGTGTTATTGCTTAGACATGTGACCTTTGATAACCTTTCACAGAAAAGAATCTGCTACCACACAGTGTGGATTAGGAAAAAAGATTTAAAGAGCTAATTTTGTGCTTTGTATTGTTATTTTAAGGAAGGCGAGAGTATTCTATATGCCTGTTTTTATTTTCCTAATATCCTTATAATGATGACTTGTAAAAATTGCTGGTGATAGATATTATTAGAAGGGCCAAGGCATAGTTTGAAATAAAAGGTGCCAACTGGGTGTGCGGTTGCTTCTGAGTGGTGGTTTCCTGTGTGATGGGTACTTATTCCGGGCAGACACAGTACATGGCACACGCGTAGCTGGTATTAGTAGGTGTTTATAACTGTAAAAGCTTTTATAGCCGATACAGTGGGGAGAGGGGGGAGTGCCAGGGCAGCCGTTAGGAAAGTGATATTTTGACAAACTACGTATTAATAGAGAACCCCTTCTTACAGCTTAACTGTGGGTATGTTTTGTGAGCTGCTAAGATATTAAAACAGGCCCCCAATTACTTCATCTTCTGTCTTTTTCCCTTGAATCACTTTTTTCTCTCTCAGTATTGCAGTATCCTTTGCAGTACTCATTAAAGGATGTTCTTAAATAGAACAGAAAAACAAAAATTGAGTTCTCCTTTCAGAACGAACCAGGTATAGCTCAGTATGGCTCCCCTCCAGATTTTTTGGGGAAATTGACTCCATGTATTTAGAAAATAACACCCATGGAAGTAAAGAAAGCTGACACTTGGAGAGAAGCTGATAAGGGAGAGTTTACAAAGTTGAACAAGACAGCTTTTGTCTTTGTAACGTGTAAAATCCAGAAAGCAGATTCAATGTGTTTGTCTAGTGGCTGGATTTTGGACAGTCACACAGCCTGTGTGGTCGTTTCTAGCATTCACCCAGGACTCTTCTTTGGCTGACCTCAGGGGAGCTTGGATGAGGAATAGTGGCATTATATGTGCATATTTTACGGTGTGTAATTTATGATGCCCCTAATTGTCACTACAAATTACATTCTTGAAGAGCAATTTAGCAGCTGGATGCTAGCTATCTGAAGGTTTGCAGTTCTGCTGAGTTGGCTCAGCTGGTCTTCTCATTAGCTACAAGAGGCCAAACCCTATACCTGAAGGGAAAGGTAACTTTCTAAGATGGAATAAGCTATGGCATGCTGTATGCTGATGTATGCTGATGCCCTTCTCTCCATCTCTTACTCAGATTCAGCTCTATTTTGCTTGCTTACCAGAGGAAAAGGTTCCTTATGTTAACAGCCCTGGAGAGAAACATCGGATTAAACAGCTTTTGTACCAGTTGCCACCACATGATAATGAGGTAAAATAACAGGAAGGCTACAAAAATAAACACTAAGCATTCAGATGCCTCTCATAAAACCCCACCTCCTCACTGGCTCTGGCTCTCTTTTGCCTTTCTTCAGTTAAACTTTGGCTGGAGAATACAGCTCTCCATTCTTTGAGAGAGAAAAGGGTGTCAGTGCAATAAACTTAACACACGTTGGTTTTTATAGTGTTTGCAACCACCCACCAATTACCAGGAGCCTAGATTCCTGAGATGGCCCTGCCCCCACTTCATCTAGACTCAATGCTTTATGGTCGCTCAGGCCTGCAGTTGAGTTGAGCGCCTGTAGAATGTAGAGTGAAAGTGGCAATTAACAAGTTTAAACCTTTTGTAGAAAGGTTAATGTCTGGTTTTTGGGGTTTTTTTCAGTGTCTGCTGATAAGAGTTTAAACATTTCTTATTTTTTTAAAAAAGACTGTTCCCTTAAATTGCATTTCCCTTTTGCTAGAGAGGCTGTAAGGTTTGATGTCATTTTAAACGTATGGTGTCATTTTTAAATTGGGGATTCGTGGGAGCAGGCCATCTAAAGTTGCTGTTTTATTTCCTGAAACTCTAACTCTGGAAATAAAGAATTGGTGAAGGAGACTGTGTGCTCCAGTGCTGTGCTTCTTTTCCTTTCTGCGAAGGTGCGGTATTGCCAGTCTTTGAGTGAAGAGGAGAAAAAAGAATTGCAAGTGTTCAGTGCTCAGCGGAAGAAAGAAGCACTTGGAAGAGGAACGATTAAACTTTTGTCCAGAGCAGTAATGCATGCTGTGTGTGAGCAGGTAGACCTTTCTAGAACAAGTAGCTCGTGGTAGTGATGTGGACGGAGTGAGCTGGGGGGTAGGTGACAGGGCTAGCCTGCATGTGGGCCCTAAAAGCCTCCAAAGACTAAGAAAAAGAAAGGCAACCGAGCTTTTTATTAAACAGGGATTAATGTTTATAACTGGCCACACTGCCGTGTCTGACGGGGAGTCATTCTGCCCTTATGTAAACATCGGGTGAAATCCTGCCTTTTCTAGGATCCTGGCGTGGAGGGAGGTGCAAGGGTACACCTAGTGTTCAAAAAATGCAGAGACATAATGAAGACATTCAGGTCCTTACTGGCCGTTTTCAGAGTAGGAAATGTATCCAGCAGGACGCTGGCTCAGGAGAACCACGCTTAATGGGAGTCAGATGAAACCATTCTCAGAAACAGTCTCGTGTGGAAGTCTATCCGAGGCATGTTCATTTCAGTTGAGAATCACACATAATCCCAGCATTAAAGAGCTACTTAATCACTAACAGGAGAGGACACAAATAAAAGCTTTCCTGACAAATTTGGGATTTAGTGTCAAGTGGGAAAGGCTGAGAATCCAGTCATTAAAGAAGGATCATTTTAAATTCGAATCCTTTTGTTTTTAGTGTGGGCTGAAGATAAACGGAGGTGAAATTGCAGTGTTTGCCTCGCGTGCGGGCCCTGGAGTATGCTGGCACCCGTCCTGTTTTGTCTGCTTCACGTGTAACGAGCTGCTGGTCGACCTCATCTATTTTTATCAGGATGGAAAAATTCACTGTGGCAGGCACCATGCTGAACTGCTCAAACCACGGTGTTCAGCATGTGATGAGGTAAAAAAAAGTCTATCCCTTAACACTGGGAAAAATAAGCTTGTAGTAAGCCAATATTCCACTGTTCACATCTAAGCAAAATATAAATATCTCCTGCTTTTGCTCTGTATATTTTTAAGATAACTCTGTACATTCATGCAATGGAATAATACATAGCTCATAAAGAGAAGGGCAGCAAGTGTGTTTGTGTGTTGATCCGTAGGATGTCCTTACTGGACTGTGAGGAAAAAAAACAAGTTGCAAGAAGTGTGTGTGGCCCATGATCTTATTTCTTGTTAAATAAAGCGGGAACAAACCAAGGTTGTATACAAGTAGTTTTAAACTTACAGAAGAGTTGGAGATATTACAAAGTGCCTGTGTACACGTCTCCTAGATTCCCCTATTGTAAATATCTTACATAATCGTAGTCTGTGCTTCCAATCTAATAAGTTAACATTGGTATAATACTAAACTATATGCAGATTTCCACAGTTCTTCTGATGTCACTTTTCTATTCCAAGATCCAATCCAGGATGCCTCATTGTATTCATTCTTTTTTTCTCCTTAGTCTCCTTCAGTTAGTGACAGTAAACTTTGTGTTTACTTTTTTATATTTTTTTTTTTAAGTTTTTTTCAGTGGTATGCTATTTGAACTTTTTTGACACCAAAAATATAAAAAATTAATTAAGTCTTTAAATCTGGAGATGGCCACCAGATCAAATGGAACAGTGTCTACCAAGTGCTGTTCACACAGTATAGCATCTGGATAGCTGTTAACTGTGTCCACTCCATAGGCATTTTTATGAGTTTTTTTTTCCTATTAAAACACAGGCCACTAAGTTATTTCTATGTTAATATATTCTTTGCCAGATTATGCCAGCGAAGTGTGATCAGGGAGCAAAAATAATGACAGATTAATTATCTCCAATGTAGAAATCTATTCTGTTTTTTGTTCTGATTTAAAAAAATTTTGTTTTTCAATTACAGTTGACATTCAAGATTATATTAGTTTCAGTTGTATAGTACAGTGGTTGGACATTTATAAAGTTCAAACAAACATTTAGTTTCTCTTTTTTAACATTTTCAATGTCTGCTCTTGTTTTATAGCTAAATCAAGTTAGATTTAAGGTTGAGGCTATAAGAAACAAGGTTAGCTATCTAAGCTAAAAAGGATTTTCTGTCATCCTGTGGTTTCATATTCTCTTTCAAGATAATTTTTGCTGATGAGTGCACAGAAGCTGAGGGTCGCCACTGGCACATGAAACACTTCTGCTGCCTGGAGTGCGAAACAGTCCTAGGAGGACAGAGGTATATCATGAAGGATGGCCGCCCGTTCTGCTGCGGCTGTTTTGAGTCTCTGTATGCCGAGTACTGTGAAACCTGTGGGGAGCATATTGGTAAGTCCACAGCCCGACCTGTCTGCTCTGTCATGTTCCCATAAGTCTGTTTGCCATTATCTGTAGTTTTAATTGAGGTATAATTTATATACAGTGAAATGTACAGATCTTCAGTGTTTCAGTTTGCTGAGTTTTGACAAATGCATAGTCAGTTGTCGTTGAGGGAGTTATAGTCTATGGAATTGCCTGAATTATCGAATACTGAACCATTGCTCCTAGGGGAAATTCATGGCTAGGTTCCTGTGAGCCCCTGGTCACATATGTTGTTGATTCAACAGCATTGTAACTTGTGCCCGAAGGTTCTCTAATACACGTCTGTTCTCCCTAAGGCACACACAGCCTTCCTGCGCTTAGGGACACTAGACAGCACTTCATTCAGCACTATACTTGGGGGCCATTTAAATAGCAAAATCAACAAGCACAACGATCTGAAGAAAACTGAATAGACCACAAATACAGCCCTTATTTCAAGTATGAGAGCTGAAACAAAAGCCAGAGAGCATGACCTGGTTTGACCTACTAGGGAACGTGTGCGTTGGTGGACTCAAATTCTTCAGCACTCTTCACATGTCCACAAATGACTTTGAAAGCTCTGCAAGCATTGATTTTGGGGTTACGAATAAATTTTAGCCAAGTAGGCAAATGTGCAAAGGTGGACTTTGCAAATAATGAGAAGGAACAGTAACTGTGTGACCTGCAACCTTAACAAGAAACAGAACATTCCCATTACCTCTGAGAGTACCTCATGCCCACAGTTCTGTTCCTTTTTCCTCTGTTTAAAGATTGAACTATAACCTGTTATTCTATCCTTTGTCAAATCAGGTGTCGACCATGCACAGATGACCTACGACGGGCAGCACTGGCATGCGACAGAAGCCTGTTTTTCTTGTGCCCAGTGTAAAGCCTCTTTGCTGGGGTGTCCCTTCCTTCCCAAGCAAGGCCAGATTTATTGCTCAAAAACATGCAGCCTCGGTGAAGACGTCCATGCTTCTGATTCTTCCGACTCTGCATTTCAGTCCGCTCGATCAAGAGACTCCAGAAGAAGTGTCCGGATGGGCAAAAGCAGTCGGTCAGCGGATCAGTGTAGACAGTCTCTCCTCTTGTCCCCTGCTCTAAACTACAAGTTTCCTGGCCTTTCAGGCAATGCTGATGACACCCTTTCTCGGAAATTGGATGACCTGAGTCTCTCCAGGCAGGGAGCAAGTTTTGTCAATGAAGACTTTTGGAAAGGCAGAGTAGAGCACGAAACCCCAGAAGACCCTGAAGAATGGGCCGAGCATGAAGATTATATGACGCAGCTTCTCCTCAAGTTTGGTGATAAAAGCCTCTTTCAGCAGCAGCCCAACGAGATAGATATTCGAGCCAGTGAGCACTGGATATCTGATAACATGGTTAAAAATAAGGCCGAGTTAAAGCAAAATAACCAGAGCCTTGCAAGTAAAAAATACCAATCTGATATGTATTGGGCACAGTCACAAGATGGACTTGGAGATTCTGCCTATGGCAGCCACCCAGGCCCTGCAAGCAGTAGAAGGCTCCAGGAGTTGGATCTGGACCACGGGGCTTCGGGATACAATCATGATCAAACACAGTGGTATGAGGATTCCTTGGAGTGTTTGTCAGACTTGAAACCAGAGCAGAGTGTTCGGGATTCTATGGATTCCTTGGCTTTGTCTAACATCACAGGTACGTAATCTAGGGATTATGGGATAGTTGGAAAAAGAGCCACTAAAAAAATCTGTTCTGAAAATTATAGTTCAGGACCAGTAGCGGCTATGTTAATTAAACTGTAGACCAAGGGAAGGAAGAAGGCGTTTCCATTAAATGCCAAACACCAGAGCAAAACAAAACCATGCGCATGTGTGTGCGCATACACACACACACACGTTTTAGTATAATCTTTTTGAATAGGTATTACTACTCTTGTAAAGAGGAGAAAATTGATTTATTTGGATAATGAAATCTATGTCTGAAAGATACTGTGTTCTTTGGATTGTGCTGTATGAATTTCAAGTTATTAAAATCCGTCTGCACACTTTATAAGCTCATAACGTTTTTTGCATTTTCCTGAATTGCCCTGTAGCAACAGATAGCTCAAAAATAGCTGAATATTTTTTTACCCAGATTATAAAATAATTTCACTTTGATGTTTTCAAAGCACATTCATATGTTACCAACATTTTATCCTTAAAATGACCCCGAGCTGTATAGAGTGGATATTATTGCATTTTCTAAATGAGGAAACAAGAATTAGCAGAAGCTAAATGCCTCACTTTACAGAGGTTTTTGAAAGCAAGATCAAGCCTAGAACTGAGCCCTACTGGATCTCATATTTGCAATAAGTCTTTGGATACAGAAATTGCTGTTGCATAGCTAGTTTTATAGTCAAACTAATGACATTCAGTCCTTCCATAAAGTCATGTTACTGTAATACAGACAGGAAAGGCATTAGCGGCTGGCCACTGCCAGGAATGACCCTGTGGCAGGTGCTCAGGGCAAGGAGGGATAAGACAGCGACCTTCCTGGTTTCTGTTGGACCTGTAAAGAGGAGTTGAGGAATGGTGGGTGAGACTAAATTATTGAGCATTTTCTGTTTTCTAGGTCCTATGTTAGGCGTTTTAACATCTAATATCAAAAATAGACATTATTTGGTTCACAAGGTGTTAGGGCTGGATGTTCCTTGACAATATGGGCTGAAAAACAGGCTCCCTTTAGAAAGTAGGAAGTTACGAAGTCCCCACTTGACAAGAGTCCACTCCAGTCCCTGTTGTCCCTTCCAGTCTGCTGGGCTATATTATCTTAACTTGCCTGGGCCCTATTGAAAAAGGAGAACAATATCAGTTGAGAAAAGCTTCAAAATCTTATTTTATGGGTTGAAGGGGAAAAAGACTGGATGACGATGTAGGCCAGGGGTTGGAAACCTCTTCCATAAAGGGCTAGATAGCACTTTTGGGGCCATACCGTCTCTGTTGCAACTACTCAACTCTGCCACTGTAGAAAGCAACCATAGATAGCATGTAAGTGAATAGGTGTGGCTGTGTTCCAATGAAACTTTATCCAGAAATAGGCTGTGGGCCAGATGTGGCCCTTGGCCTGTAGTTTGCTGACCACTATCAAGGTATAAAGTGAGAAAGCCTCGTCCAGGTGTAAGAGGAGGACCATGACGGTGGCCATGTGGAAGGGACTGATTTGAGAGATGTTCAAGGAAAGCAATCTGGCTTTAATAGATTGAGAGGCAGAAGCGTTTCACACGACCTGTAAATAAACTATTGATGAGACGTTTGTAAAGAGCTTTTAAATTGTTGCTGCTCATGCCATGTGCTATAACTAATGTTTGGCTCCAAAACAGCTTGACTCCTAAGAGAGGCTATGCCCCTTGTATCGATAACAAAATTCATACCTCCTCTCAACTAAATATGAATGCTAATTTACCTTGTGGGTGTCAATCAAATATTGACATCTGGGAGAATTTTCTTTGAAATGCTTCCTTCTTTCAGTAGCTTTTTTGCAGTAATTGTCAGAATTAGGATTACTGAGAATCACATCTTGTCTTGGCTTTTCTTCTAGGGGCTTCGGTGGATGGAGAAAGTAAGCCGAGGCCATCATTATATTCTCTGCAAAACTTTGAGGAAATGGAGGCAGAAGATTGTGAGAAAATGAGCAATATGGGGACTTTGAACTCTTCCATGCTGCACAGGAGTGCAGAGTCCTTAAAGAGTCTGAGTTCAGAATTGTGTCCAGAAAAAATCATGCCTGAGGAGAAACCAGTACATCTGCCAGTGCTCAGAAGATCCAAGTCTCAATCCAGACCACAGCAGGTCAAGTTTTCAGATGACGTGATCGACAATGGAAACTATGACAACATCGAAATCCGGCAGCCTCCAATGAGTGAGAGGACTCGGAGACGGGTCTACCACTTTGAAGAGAGGGGGTCCAGGTCTCATCACCATCGCCGCAGGAGAAGCAGGAAGTCCCGCTCTGACAACGCCCTGAATCTTGTCACAGAAAGAAAATACTCTCCCAAGGAAAGACTGCGGCTTTACACCCCTGATAACTATGAGAAATTTATACAGAACAAAAGTGCCCGGGAGCTCCAAGCGTACATCCAGAATGCTGACCTCTACGGCCGGTACGCCCACGCCACTTCCGATTATGCGCTGCAGAACCCCGAAGTGCATCGGTTTCTGGGACTCTACGGGGAGGATGACGATTCCTGGTGCTCCTCCTCCACCTCCTCCTCCGACTCAGAAGAAGAAGGGTATTTTCTTGGACAACCAATTCCTCAACCTCGGCCACAGAGATACGCCTACTATACAGACGACCTTTCTAGTCCAACTTCTGCTCTCCCCACGCCTCAGTTTGGGCCAAGGACAACTAAATCCAAGAAGAAAAAGGGACACAAGGGCAAAAACTGTATTATTTCTTAACCGAGTAGCTGTGGAGCGCATATTTAAACTTAGCCATTAACCATCTTGAATCATATCTTTTTTCTTCCATAGGAAAGTTGCTAAAATAGTTTCAAGTGCTTTGCCCATGTAAATGAGCCCCTGACTGCTGTTTACAGTGTCAGATTAACATTTGGAAGGTGTGATTTCTCCAGTTTGCCCTCCTTGGATGGTGCCAGGTTGCCGTGACATCTCTGTGCCTCTCAGGTGCCATTACGGTTTTACTTAGATGCTTTGGTCTCCAATCCTCAAGAGAATCCTCGAGAAACTGTTGAGAGGTGATTGGACAGAGGCATTGATTTTAGACAATGGAGAACTTCAGCCACCTTTGTAAAGCAATAGTGTTTGTCGTTCGTCTCTACCAGGTTGGCGCAGGTCCTGATCGGTCTGTCTTGTTGTGCGGCATGCACGTAGTCACACTGACCCAGCCAACACTGTGCGTCCCATCCTACGAGTCCACCTTGTCCCCTTTCAATCCTCTTTAGCCAGGTAAACATTGTATTAGCTCCAGCTACAGATTGAAAAAAAAACAAAAACATTGCTATTTATAATGTAGTATTTCATAGACGTAAGTGTATTCCTAATTTAACGGTGCAAATACTAATGTACATACTGTACAGTTCAGATTTTAAAGCTGATATTTTTATATCCCTGAATTGCAAGATGTTTGTTACACTGCAGTGCTAGATTTGTTAGGGAACCAGAAACAGCATTTATGGATGAAATGATTGCTTGTATTTTAGTCAGGGTTTATAAGTGTAGATGGTCAAATTTATATTGCCTAGTGATGGAAAGTTCAATTTTTTTGATTTTTCAATATTAAAAAGGCTCTGTATGCATGGTGGGGCTATGTAAATACTCTTTAAAACTATGGCCCTATTAATCTTACAAGTGTTATTTATGGGTCAAGCAATGTAAACTGTATAAATGTAAAAACAAACAAAAAAAACCCCATATATACCCCTGGAATATATGGTAAAAACAAATAGAAGCTGTTTGGGTGGATGTTTTTTCCCCTCTTTGGTGATGGTGTGTGTGGGGGTGCCTTTCCCATTTTTAGCAAGCTGGTGATTATCTCATGGGAAGAGACCAAAACTACAAGGATCTGCTTTTTTGTGGCAGGGGACTTTGTAGATTTATTATTTGAACAGAGGTTATTCCTTTTTATCCCTCCCTTCCAGCTAATTTGTTGGTCTTTAAGCAGCAATTTTGAAAACTTGGCCTTCTGATTATGTTTGTCTTTTAAAATCTTTAAATTAGAGGATGCTGTACCACTGACTACTTCAAGTTAATATGAGGTTCTATTTCAAGGGAAAATTATCTTGAATTTGAACTAATGAGCTGATATTTTGATATGTGCTGTTCTTGCACATACATTTCAGTCCTACGGTCCTAGTGGTATTTGGGACCTGTAGGACGGTATTTAATAAACAATAAAAACTACCTACCTTTCTGAACACAAATCTTTGCAGACATATCCAGATAACTTCCACTTTGCTCCTCTGTTCAGGCATGATTTATTTGGCCGTTCTTCTGCCATTAACAGACTACCATTGGCTCCTGGTATCCACTGCCCCTACTAGTAGGTGGGAAACAGGACTTGAAGCAAAGCTGTCTTATCTACTGAAATGGGGAAAAGCTGTTAGGCCTTGGAGAGGAGGGACATGAATCCAACAGGGAAAACCTGTAGTCCATAGTATTCCCTGCACCATTCCTGGATAGGGCAGGGCCTGTGTCTGGGCTAGACACAGCCTCTTCAGAAATGCACCACTGGGGAGAGAACTCTTTGCTCAGTAACTATCTCATCATTTCAAAGACAGTAAAGTGTCTCCTTTCCACTCTTCATCCCTAGTCCCTCAGTTCCCCTCCCCCAAAGTAACCACTGGTATCCATTTCTAGTGTTTCCTTCAGATGTTAAAGCATATTTATATAAATGCACCTCTTTAAAAAATGGCAGCAAACTATACACGCTGACTTGTTTTTTTCACTTTATACATGAACATTCACATTAGTGAAAATAGGTTGGCCTCATTGTTCCAGTGACTGCATGGTATCCCACTTTTGGATGTACCATAATTGACTTAACCAGTCCCTTAGTAACGGACTTGAATTTCCTCATTGACACAAACAAAGGTTATGCATTTAAAATTTTGATGGATAGCAACAATTTTGTTCCAAAAGAAATTCTCCTGATTTACATCTACACTAACTGTGTAGGAGAGTGCTATTTCCATCACAATCTCACACACAGGAACAAATTGCTTGATTTTGAAAACCTTTCCAGAACCTAATGCTGCAGAGTGGGAATCCTTTTAGAAAAGACTGTTGCGATATATTGCTTATAAAGGATGGATAACACAGTAAACAGGTAATACCTAGTTTGGGGAAATGCAGGTATAGACTGAAGTCATTGTCCTCAGTAGTTTTCAAGTCATTCTCAAAAGATTAGTTGCTTTTACTTCTCACCTGATTTCATTTTTATCCCTATATAAGGGTTATATAGATTGCCAGGGGTGTAAGGAAATGCAGAAATATTTATTCACCATAATAATACAAACTTTAAAGCTTTTAAATCTTGGTTAGTGGTAATAACAAAGAAAACTACAAAGGAAGAAAGTGACTGCCTTGCAGTTCCATAAAGAGTTGGCAAGAGGGCCGGCCGAGTGGCGCGATGGTTAAGAACTCGCTTGGGACGCCAGAGGGCCCCGGTTCGGATCCCACATATGAGGGCCAGTGACACTGCCCTCCACAGCTAAGATGCTGAACAACAGCTCAACCTGGAGCTGGGCTGTCATGAGTCGCCGGCGACGGTGTAGGCTGCACTTCCTGTGGCAGTGGGTTGCCATGGGCTACTGTATGTAGCCAGCAGCCAGCGTGAGTGGCCAGCAGCCGCAGTGAGCGGCCGTCCAGAAGCAGACGACTGATCTGCCTCGCCCGGGAAAAGCGCAATGATGGTGCCAACTTGGGCCAGTGAAGCAACGTCTTCCACAACTAGATTGAAGAACAAAACGACAGCAACTTGTCTGTTCCCCTTCCCCCAATTCCCCAGCACTGTTCCCATCCCCCCAATTCCCCAATAAAAATCTTTAAAAAAGAAAAAAAAAAGAGTTGGCAAGAAAATTAAGCATACAGTTGCTAAAAGGAGTTTGTATATTTAGTTAACAAGACTGAAAAGTATCTGTTCAGTCACTAAACTCTGAATTTTGGTCCCAAGATAAATATCAAATGTTAAAACACTGCCTCTAATCTCTATGTGGGTAAAGCAGAACCCTAATTGTTTTTTGTATTTTCCTGGTTGTATTTTCCTTACTTCACACCAAATTTGAGAACATCTTGCTTAAGACCCACCAGGGGGATGCTGATAAAATGTCAACAGGGAACTTCTTTCATGTATGTTATGTGTCCTTGAGTTGGCTATGACTCTGTGCAACCCAGTGAATGAGTGGGGTCCACACTGTCCTGTCCTCCACAGCCCTGCTCAGCTCCTGGAGACTCATGCCTATGGCTACTTTTATGGAGTCAATCCATCTCATATGGGGTCTTCCTCTTTTCCTGCTGCCTTCCATTTTCCCAGCATTATTGTCTCTTCCGAAAAACCGTACCTTCTCATGATGCCCGAAGTAGGACAGCTTCAATTGTGTCATTTTTTTTTTAAGTTTTTATTGGGGAATTGGGGGATGGGAACAGCGCTGGGGAATTGGGGGAAGGGGAACAGACAAGTTGCTGTCGTTTTGTTCTTCAGTCTAGTTGTGGAGGACGTTACTTCACTGGCGCAAGTTGGCACCATCATTGCGCTCTTCCCGGGTGAGGCAGATCAGTCGCCGGCTTCTGGACGGCCGCTCACTGCGGCTGCTGGCCGCTCACGCTGGCTGCTGGCTACACACGGTAGCCCATGGCAACCCACTGCCACAGGGGCTGCAGCGTATGCCGTCGCCGGTGACTCAAGGCAGCCCAGCTCCAGGTTGAGCTGTTGTTCAGCATCTTAGCTGCAGAGGGCAGTGTCACTGGCCCTCATATGTGGGATCCGAACCGGGGCCCTCTGGCATCCCAAGCCAGCTCTTAACCATTGCACCACTCCGCCAGCCCCAGTTGTGTCATTTTTGCCTCCAGCAATATTTCAGGCTTAATTTGCTGTAGGACCCAGGACCCACATGTTCATCTTTCTGGCGGTCCAGGGTATCATAGAGCTGTCCTCCTCCAACACCATATTTCAGACGAGTCAATTTTCCTGTCAGCCTCCTTCACTGTCCAACTTTTGCATCCATACATAGTAATTGGGAATACGAGGGTGCAGATAATCTAGCCTAGTTTATTTAATCTATGTTCTGCGTACCGATTAAAACATTGGAAGATAAAATGCAACCTTGTCTGACCCCTTTGCCTACAGGAAACCATTCTATCTCCATATTCTGTCCTGACGGTGGCTTCCTGTCCACAACACAGGATACGCATCAGGACAACCCAGTGTTGAGGCACGCCCAGTTCTTTCAGAGCAGCCCATAGATTCTCATGATCTACGCAAAGGCTCAGTCGTCTATAAAATGTAGACGAACCTGATCTTTGGAGCGCTCTTTTTAGCTCTCATTAAAAGAAAATGATTCATTTTGTGGATGCTTTTGCTATTCTTCACACACTCCTTTTTAGTCCCTGAGTTGAAAGGTACCAGAAGTGAAAGGAGGTATCATTTGCTTTCAAACCCTCTCACTTTAGATACAAATCATGGGCCTTCTTAAAAAGGCAGTAACTTTGGAATGGGCATGCAAGACTGCGAGATTTCCATTTGTGGCATGCATCCCTGCCCAACTTGGTCCTTGGGTGATAGGACCTGGAAGTATTGGTGTGGACATATGGCGGGAATGCCCAGAGGATTTCAGCACAGGCATGATTAACATAGTGTGGGCATAGTTTGGTTTATTGAGCTTCTCTTTTCTAATGGACACTTGACTCTTGCCATGGAAAGGAGAACCCGTGTTGCTATACCTTCCGATTTTGCAAGAGAAACGGAATTTGAACTGCGGTGAACTTTCCAAGCTTACAATTGCTAGCAACAAATTCAAACATTTCTGAAACACCTTAAACAAAATGAGCCTGCCATCAGCAAGTCTCCAGTGCATGGGTTATAAATTCAGGAGCTTGAGGCTGATTCCTGTATTCCTTAGAGCTATCTAGGGAAGGCACGCCTAATTACTGTTTATAGAAATACATGTGACCTTTTTGGGATCCACAAAGAAGAAACATTGGGATAAAAAAAAATTACACTAAGACTTGCCTCATTATCAGTTCAATGCTAGCAACACAATTATAAAAATCCATTTTAGTCAAATGAGAAAATTGCTAATTGCCTAGATTCTCTAGCCATTCTTTGGAACTATTTGAAAACAGAAGGCATACTCTTATACAGTCTGCTTGGGTTTTCCACAAACTCAAACATTAGGAAGGTTTCCAGGTAAACCGGGCCAGGGAGAAAAAAGCAGGAACAAATTGAGTTTTGCACCTTTGAGCTCACATTTTGCCAAGGTCGTACAATCATGAACTTTTTTGGGGGAATAAAGTTTAAGGGTGCCTTTCACAAAATGGTTTGGGAAGGACATATAGAGAAAAAGTAAGACATTGAGTATACATAGACTTGGTCACAGGATTAGAGTCAATTCTTCTTTTTGAACAGACCTGGCTACCTGGTCAAGAATTCCCATTTTAGGGATCAATTTTAGCCTCAACTTTTTGCAAAAGCCATTTCACATCTCTACTGCTATATGTGCACAGGTGCTGTCATGCCAACTTTAGAAATGCAGCCCATTCTCTGGAAGCATTTGATTCCAGACAACATAAACGGTACCATGAAGAATATGAAACCAGTCCTCTTAAGTGCTACTACTAGTTTTAGCACTTTTAGATAAATGAACCAAGCAACTGACATTGGACAAGACGATTACTGGGCCAATATAAATCCACCAAAGTTGATCTTGGAGTGGTGCAAAGCATATTGGACTCCAGGAGTCAAAAGATCTGGGTTAGGAGACTCACCTCTCTCATTAACTCAAGCGGGTTAAGTGCTCTGACCCAGTTTCCACTTCTGTAAAACGAGCGTGCCAGGCCATCTCGAAGGCTTCCTTCCAGCGTCAGCGTTCCTTGGAGACTGAACTGAATTTTTCAGGTCAGAAAAATCGTTCCACTCAGCATAGTGTTTCCCTTTTCTGACGCACATTTGTCTGGCCAAGATTCCTGAAAGGATGATCCCTCCAAAGCTCATGGGAGTTGGGAACTTTAAAGAGAGTTGGTGCTTTTTTACGTTAATGCTTGGGATTCTGAGTGGGCAAGAGGTTCAACTAAATTATGAAAAAGAAGCTTAGAGATTATCTCCCCAACAGTGCATAAGCTTTAAATTGGCTTTAGCTTCATTGAGTAGATTGGAGATTACAGAGTATGTGAAAAGTTAAGATATTTTCCTCTCATGTTATTTCTCCCGTTACCAGGAAAAAAAGTTAAGATTTTTTTGTTGGCAACAATCTTAGTTTGGAATCTCCCCAACATGTTGTAAGCAAAGCTGAAAGGTGTTAACAGCGTTTAATTAACCTTAGTTCCTAGAATAGGAGAGTTGAATTAACCAGGTTCATTCCACTTTAAATGGCAATTCTTAAACTCCACCAGGGGATCGGGTGCAGCACCCAAACAGCTGAGTTCTGAGCTGCACTGTGGCAGTGGGGGCTGTAACCACACATACTACTTGCCCCTTAACAACCATCCCTTATGAACCTCAAAGGTGTTTCCTAAAATGGCTCCAAAGCAGAAGTCATAGGAACCAGTAACGGTAGAGTGGCAACTAAGGATAAAGTGACCACCAAGCTTTTGCACTTCTTCCAAGAACACTGAATTCAGAGCTGCGAAGATCTGAGTATATCTCTGGCCCTGCCACTTCCAGCTATATATCCTTAGGCAGTTACAACTTTTCTTGCCCTTGAATGCAAAATGAGAATAAAGTTCTTATTATATGTAAAAATGTTTGTGAATCGAAAAACACTAGAATGTGGTTCTAACCTTGTTCAGATAGTGAAATAACTGGAAAACGTGTTTCTCAGAATCCTATAAAGTATTTAGTATACTAAATCTGAAATACATTGGAAGCTATATCCAATATGTTACACTACAGTCTACAGAAGTAGCAGGACACAAAGTTTTTAAAAATGGGAAATTCCTGCCAAAGCTGGGCTAGTCCCACACTCCTATACCCAGCTTACCAGCTTCAGGATGTATCCCCCTCACTCCACACTCCCACTCAGGACAGAGGCCAGCATGGAGGCTGTGACGGTCAGGCTGCCCCAGGGGATGAGGAGATGCTGCGAGCTCTCTCTCTCCTCTTGAACCCTGGCTGGATCATGTTGTTCCTATGTTGTAAAGAAAAGGTGATTCTCACTCAAGACTCGCCTCTCAACTCAGTAAGCCCTGCAGTGTGCAGTCGACCACCACCAGCCGTTGTGGTGGTGGAAGACCATGCCGGCACAAGCCCGAGGCACAGCTTCCCTTCAGTCCTGTTTAGGAAAGAGAAATCAAAAGCCTCAGCAGAGAGCAGATACCTCAACCTCATAAGCTACAGCTTTGAAGGACTATTACCTCCTCTCGCCACTCTCCCAGCCTGCAACCTCCCCACCCAACTCAAGCCGCATCCATTGGGGGCTGACACTCTTCTGGCTCCCACCTTCCCCACCAGGCAAGTGCAGGGTGTGGGTAGATAAGGGCATCTGGAATCTGGTGCCAGGGAGGAGCCCCGCTGGCTGGAGCTGGGCCCACCTGAAGGTGCTGCAGACATTTGGCCAGTGTGTCTTTCTCAGGAGTTTGGTCTCAAAGGATGGACTCTTCCCACTTGGAGGACACAGGGACAGTCATTGGGTCCTCTCCCTTTCTCCAGGCAGCTTGCCCAGCCTCACCCTCTCAGAGAATCCTCAGTGCCCTCAAGGACAATAGCAGGGTCGCAGCCAGAAAGCTCATGAGTGGGGTTGTCAGCAGGTGACCCCTGTGCCATAAGGAGCTTTCTTTTAACATGCAGTCCTGAAGGCCACATAGCCAGGACAACTCTGTCACCTCCTCCTCATCATCTTATAAGTATTCTAACCAGGAAAAACGTGATAGCACATAGGTAGACTAGGCAGTGGGTAAATAGGTCAGATGTCCTCTTGCAGCAAGTATCTGTATATGTTGTGGTTATTTTACATATATCCTACATATTCTCAAATGATTATGTTTCAATAAACCTCTACCTATTCATATACACACACAACAAAAAAGTTTCAAACCTTATACAATTTTAGTGATACTGGCTATCATTAGAATACCATTAAACTGTGGGAGCAGAGCTCAAAAAACGTGCTACAGAATCAAGCTGTCTCTGCTACTACACAAATGTACATGACGCTTAAATGGTATTTCTCAAGTGACATTTTAAATACAACTCAAACTCAGTGGACTGGCAAAACCTTTTGTATGATCAGTCCCCATAACTCCAAGGTCAATTATTACAATGGAAACGTGGGTCTGGTGCAGCCTGTCAAGGGCCAACTTCAGTGAAGTTAACACTCAAATATCATTTGTACTAATTTGAGCTGCTAACAAGAAACCAATAATGTGGCTTAAACAATAAAGACACTGATTCTTCTTCCACGTAATAGTTCAGTACTCCACATGGTCATGCAGGGATCCAGGCTTCTTCCATCTCATGCCTCTGCAATAAATCAAGGCTGGGTTGCTATTGTTACTACTTTTGGGAAGGGATAAAAGAGCATGAAGGAGGCAGATCCATTGTCCTAAGGGTCCCAGCCCAGAAGGAGTAGCACTCAAATTCCATAGAAGGCAGTCATGTGACTCAATTTTGACTCCATTAACAGGGAAAAAGGAGAGAATATATTCTGCTACTACCCAGTTACTAGTCCTCTTTTTCCTATATCACTGAATTGGGTGCTCTCGAGAGAACTGGCAGGAAGGAGATGGCAAATGTACCGTGCATAACCCACAAACCTTCGTGTGGCAAGCAGAGATGTGGCCATCTCTCACAGTGGCTCCAGGTAGCCAGCCTCAGCAGTAAAGCCACCTGGATGGCTGGCTGCCTGCAACACTGAATACTTCAGAGATGATGACCACTGTCTTCAAAGTTGTTGCCGAAGAACTGACAGAATCTTCCTCAGAGTTTAGGATCCCTTGCTGGAAACTCTGAAATGAAGCTGAAATCACCATGTAATATTTTGGCAGTGTAGCAGAGTCCTTTCTTAAGGGGATCTGGCCTCCCCTATCTTCAAGAGGTTCTGGGTCTATGAACTAACTGGCTCAGGGCTAGGAAGTGGCTGAGGGGCTGTGAGAAATCAACATTTTTGGCAAGAATAAATACAAAGAAAATATTTTCAAACCTCATTGTTACATAGGAGAGAAAGGATAAAGCTGCAAGCATTCAAAATTCTTCACATTCTGCTTTCAACCTCTCTTTCTACATCCGTCCCCTATCATCTCCAACTAGCTCTAGTCACAGAGGCCTACATCTTTCCCTCCGCCTGGACTTCTAACACTTCCCTTTCTCTGCCTGAATAAGTCCTATTCCTCTATGACTCGGGTCAAATTTCACTTCCTTTGTGAAGCCTTAACAAATTTGAGTACCTACAACATTCCAAACTGCTAGGAACTGAGGTCACAAAGATAATGTGGTTCCTGAGCCCTCCAGAGGTTACTATAAAGACATGGGGTTTTAATCCCACAATTCTCTGAAACTCAGACTCATAATTACACAATGATTGAGCACTATTGTGTGCTCAATTTATGTCATTTAATTGCTTTCTCAGATATCAAGGCTCCCTAAGTCACCAAAGTTAATAGTGTCTCAATTCTCAAACTTCATCCTTGCTGCTGAGTAGGTGAACTGAATAGTAAGGGGTAATCTTGCAGTAGAAAGGAATAAAAATCTACATTTTAGCAAAACACTTTAAGCCTGTTCAAGAGAAAAAAAAAGACAATCTAATTATTTAAACCTGTTTGCTTTATTTTGCACTTTTAAAGTTCACAAAAAACTTCACAATATCTGTTTTTCCCCTGTTGATCATCAAGGCTTTATAAGACAATGAAAATTTTATTACATCAATTGGGCATACTCAAAAACAACAGATAATTTACAAACAAATTTTGAAAATCAAGAACATTTTGCAAAATACACACTCTGGTACACACCTGAATTAATCTATCCTAAAATTAGACTTGGAAAAACAAAACAAAACCAAAAAACAGATGGATAGATTTAACACTGACAAGCCTACCAGAATAATGCTGATGGCAAGCTATAAACGGCTTTAAATGCTGAATGTAATTTGGGGGAAGAGGACAAGAAAAAATTATCTGTTGAACCTACATTTAAATGCATATGTGAGTTAAACTTCTATAGTTGAATGAATTTCAACAAAGTGAACAACTCCTTTGCCTCCATAGTAGTTTCTAAAGTTTTATTTTTAAACTTGTGACATCTTGACTAAAGAAAATGAAAACCAGAATTAGAACATTTAAGGAGAAGAAAAACATGGGGGCAGGGGAGAAACAAGATCAGAACTTTCTTAGTCTTTCTAAAATGGTTGTACAAAATCGTTGTTCACATTAGGGAAGAATACCAGAGATGGGGTTTAGTTTTAGCTTATGTATAACATCTAAACGGCAAAAATAAAAATTCAAGGTGGGCTTATATAGAAAGCTTAAATAAATAATTTTGCCTTCAATTTGGTTTTAAATTTGTGGAATGGCATAATGCATATTTTGATGCACCCATTATAGGATCGGCTAAAATTATTTATACTGTTATTTCCACTTTTAATAAAAATTTTATCTACTCTGGGGTAGCTGTTTAGATAGTATCAATAGAGGTCACTAAAAATAATGTTAGAATTCAAGTGAGAAGAGAGTGGAAATGGAAAGAGGATGGGAGGATAATGACACTGGGTAATAATAACAAACATGATTTTTAAGGTTTCCTAACTAATGCCACAAAATTACATATTTTGGCTAAATGCCACTGGGCAGCTGGAAGTGATCAGGAAATGAGTAGACTATCCTAATCGTCCCAGTTAGATTTTTAACTAACCCGTCATTTGGACGGTTTGCTCATGAAGGACTACTTACATAGATGGTTTGGTTAAGGGTAGTTGTGTTAGGCTTAGTGTCTGTTCTGCACTTTTGAAGGGCTAAGAACTCCTCAAAAGGGTAACAGAACTTGAATTTGTTAGAATACAAACAGAGATTAACAAAGGCATTATCTGTAAATGGTTTAGTCATGGATATGTTATCCATCACCTTCTTTCTTGAGATGGGGAATATAGGCCTATGGAAAAAATGGAACTCCACTAGTCATATTCTAAATTTTTCTCTATTGATTAGAAATTTTAAAATAGCCCTCATATCTCATCTCAAATTGACCCTTATTTTTAAGTGATATTATTTAAGACTCACGCATCAGTCAGAGTAGTCAGGAACTTCAGGATTATTTTAACAGAAGACATTAAGTTCACTTCCTTGGAAAACAGAAATTTATTGTAAGGTGTCTTTTAGACATCTAAGTGCTCTATGTTACCACAATGAGAATTATACTCAAAGCAAATATTCCCTAAGGATACCAAAGTATGCAGGTTATTTGGATCTTATACTTAAACATATTAAAAGTTACAAAACCTAAGATAAGCAAGCAACAAGTCAATAAAATCACAACTTAGTATTCTAACATTTTGACATGGTATCACTGACTATGAAATGCAAAAAGACTATAAACAACTTAGTATTCTAACATTTTGACAAGGTATCACTGACTATGAAATGCAAAGACTATAAACAACTTAGTATTCTAACATTTTGACACGGTATCACTATGAAATGCAAAAAGACTGGAATGATCTCTAAAAATTACACTAGTGTGACCATACAAATAAATGGTTGTGTATTATGGAATACTACAGAACATAAGTACAGAAGGCTGTTCTCTAGGGCTTGAAATATTAATTTACCCATCATTTTAGGGGGGTAAAAAGTGTGGATTAGGAGACTGTATATGTAGATAATGAAAATTCTAATTAAAATATCTTAGACTATTTTAGATGTTTATTTGATATTGGAAAGGTAGTCAACTACCATAAAGTATTTATCTTTATCACAAGAACTCCATATATTAAGGATTTACACAATCCAGGAAAAAAAATCTAGAAACATTTTTTTTTTTTTGCCTGAGCAAGTAATCTTCTAAAAAGGCTCTCCAAAATCTTGATTAGAGGTGTCATACTCTGCAATGAAATGCTTGAGTTCTTCAACGCACCGCTCCCCTATTTCATGTAAATTCTGTCTTAATGCAAACTGTATAGACTTTTCTAATGAAGGATCTTTTTCAATCAGCATTTTCACAACCATCCCGAAAGTTTCACAGTCTTGTCGGTAAACCTAGAAAGGTGAAATACATGTGGTTACCTCAAAGTGAAAATAATTAGCTAAAGATTGAGCTGATTCAGTTGGCAGAATTATGATGCTGAAGTCTAAACGGGAGACACAATAATACTGCTGAAACTCTGTTGGCCCTGAGTAGTGCCAAAGGTCATTTAAACTTTCATCTTTGATATTTGCTGACAACTTAAATGAGCAGAAAAGCACTGATATACCACATCACTAAATGTAGAAGCTGGGATGGCATTTTTCAGCACAAAGCAGTCTACAGAAAGGACACCCGACTAGACGAGAAGAACTAGGAACAAAGACTAGCTAGGTAAGGCACATTAACGGCTTCATTCATTTAGTTGTTTGGAAGAAAAAAGTCTCTGAACCTCTAACTTCAGATTATTTGTTTGAATCATGTCCAGATGACAAATTCAAAACTCTGTTTAGTATACAACAAACAACTATAAGAATGCCAAAAGTATCTATTTGAAAAAAACTTTTCAAGTTATAAATATTTAACCATAATTAAAGTCACCAAGGCAGAGTTAAGATCAAAACAATGCGTTATGCACACATGGTTGTGCATGTATGTGTGTATACACATGTGTATATAGAAATACACACATATACACATATGTATACTATATTTTCTACCTCAATGTTTATATTTTACTATTTTACTTTAATATGTAATTTTTATCAGTGTCAATAATAAGAAGTTTCCTGTCCAAAAATTGCTAAAGTTCCTCCACACTATTAAGGAAACTTAATTTGCAGTCACAAAATACAAAATACATTTTACATATCTGTGCTATTTTTCATACTTTGTAATTCATGTGTTAAGAGAAAAATTAGTTGTTTCCATGAATAGTAAGTGAAGTATAAATTATCTGATTTAAAAGAACTGTTAAATTAATTTTAATTTTTCTAAAGTTAACAAAAACAATTAACATGTCTATTTTCTAAAAAAAAATGTTCATGTTGAAAACTTTAAGGTGATTTGAGATGTTGTGGTAGCAACTAGAGTTTGCTCCTGTATTTTTTGTCTGTACTATTTTTTTGATTCCTTAAAAATATCTATTTAAAGAATACTTAATTTTGACTCTCTTAGTACTAGTTTGCTAAATTATACTAAATTCATGTCCTTGCTTTTGAAAATCATTCACAAGCTTCAAGGAAATTAAAAGGATAAATTCTTCAGATGACACGGAAGTTAAAATATATAAAGCCAGTAGCTGCCTTCTCCATCTCAGCACACATGCATGTGCACGTGCGCGCACACACACACAGTTTTTCTAAATAGTGAGGAAATTTATAGTAGTTATTAAGTTTAATTCAGGTATTCAAACCAACCATTTAGTCCAGATTATCCTAAGGTTTACATGACCCAGAATTGATAATACTACCTTAATAAACCAACATAGAAAACAGTATACCATTCACATGATATTATATATATCGATGTCAAAGCAACAGAGCACATTAACTGGCCTAACAAACACATAGTACCTAAGTCAGGTCAATGCAGACCCCAAGGGGGAAAGTCAGAACCATGATGTTTCACAGTCTTAGTGGAGGTAAATTCCTTACCAAACCAGTCAGCCCACATAATAACAGCATTCTAACACCAACCACAGGCCTCAGCAGACCACTTTGTGGGTGGCCTAAATTTTATAGGCTTCTTTATAACAGATGTACTAGATGAGGATAATGTTACACTGTGAATTAACCTGCAAATTCTTTAATGTAAATCTGCTGTTGTACCTAAACTGTAACTTTTCGTTTAGCATATTTAGAGAACATAAATGTGCTACATATTTTCATATCAAAAGTAAAACCATATTAAAATGTGTTCATAGATTTATTTAAATTGTAAACTATTAATCTGGAGACAAGATACTACAAGCATTTAAAGATTGTGTTTTATGTTTTAATTCTAAGTCCTTTTTGAATTATTCATTGAAATAGACAAATTTTGTACATTAGTTGACAAGTAAACCAGAATTGCTCAAAGCAATGTAATTCTCTGCTACAGGGTAAATTTTCTAAAAAGACTGCTTAAAATGTACTGGTTGGGCACTAGACAGGAAATAATTAGTTTTTTGTTAAAGGAAGAACCTCACCCTCCAACATTTTATAAATAAAATTCACAACTGTCAGAAACCTATTTCCGAAATCTGTTCCACAGTAAACTCAATCCCAAACAGGAAGGGTGTAGTTATCTGTAGGAGAGTTTGTTTGCTTATGGTCCCTTGCTGGAAATGCATTAATAATCTTCAGATTTGATATCTACAGGCCACACAGGAAGATTTTTTTGTTGTTGCTGTTCCCCTGATTGGACCTCATCAAAATGGGAAACAGGTTAAAGTTTGGGTGGGGTTCACATAAACTGCATTGAAACATAGCTTCAATTTGCCAGTATAATAAAAACACTATCCAAATGTGGTTTCACACAGTCCTTTGTTATAGTAGCCTGTGTTAATAGTTCAATCCTCACTTCTAGGAATAAAGGAATATGATAAAATAAACTGCCAAGGTTTTTTAATATGAATTATGCTGCCTGGTTACTGGAAGAAGAGTATCTGGCAAAACAAACTCAATGGCAAGTTTGTTCTATCTAAAATGCTTATAATGATATAAAACGCCTCTAAAATGCATATCATTTTAGTCCTTGCACCTTTGATCCCACAAAAATAGAAACCCAAAATTAAGGCAACATGGGTTAGAAGAATTTTCATTTCAGACTAACCATCATTAGCATAAGCATTGCAGTTCTGTAAGAGTAGTTTGAAGGAATGGTAGAGATTATAGAGATGTACTATCTAATATAGTAGTCACTAGCCACAGGAGGCTGCTTAACTTTATATATGCATAGCTTAATATGCAACTTATAATTTAATTTATAGTAATATTAGCAGGTAACTGGTTAACTGCAAAAGTAAGACATGCACAAAGTCTTAAAAGGCTGGGGAGTCAAATAACAATTATTTTCTCTATTGTTGATGCCTCATCATTCTGTATCATTCCAATTTCCTTGATCTGAACTTATTTGGCTCAAATGCTATATATCCTGTTTCAGGAGGGTCACATCCTAGTGGGAAAGGTAAACACAGTTAAAACAAAGCATAAAGGAAACATTAAGATGTAGAAGGTGGTAGGGAAGCTAGAAAGAGCAGAGGAATACTTCCATGAGCAGACTTACTGAGTTTAAATCCTGACTGTACTGCTGTGGTAGGCTGAATAATACCCTCTACCCCCACACCCAAGACATCCATATCCGAATCCCTGGAACCCATGAATGTTACCCTACATGGTATGCTATAAGGGTTTTGCAGATATGATTATGTTAAGGATTTTGAGATGGGGGGATTATCCTGCATTATCCAGGTGGGGGAAATGTAATCACAAGAGTCCTTAAAAAAGGAAAGCAGGAGGGTCAGAAAAAAAAAAGAGGAAATGTGACCACAGAAAGAGAGGTAGAATGATGAGCTTTAAAGATGGAGGAAGGAGCTACCAGCCAAGGAATGCAGTTACATCTAGAAAACAGAAAGGCAAGGAAAGGAGTCTCCCCTAGGACTTCCAGAGGAAGCGTAGCCCTGCAGACACCTTGGTTTGGGCCTCGTGAAACCCATTTCAAACTTTACACATTCTTCTCGAACTCACATGAAATATTCACTAGGACAGACAACATTCTAAGCCATAAACCACACCTTCACAAATTAAAAAAACCAGAAATCATACAAAACATGCTTTCAAACTACAATGAAATTAAATTAGAAACCAACAGATAGCTAGAAAGTCCCAAAATATATGGAGATTAAACAACACACTTCTAAATAACATGTAGATCAAAGAAGTCTCAAGAGAAATTTAAAAATATTTTGAACCAAATGAAAGTAACATCAAAATTTGTGACATGCTGAGAGAGAAATTTATAGTACTAAATGCATATATTACACAAAAATAAAGATATCAAGGTAATCTAAGCTAGGGAACTAGAAAAAGAAGAGCAAATTAAATGCAAAGTAAGCAAATGAAAAAAAATTAGACTAGAAATCAATGAAATTGAAAATAGGAAATTAGAAAAATAACAAACCCAAAAGCAAATATTGACCGACATAAAGGCAGAAATCAACAGTAACACAATCACAGTGGGGAACTTTTAACACTGCACTGACACCAATGGACAGATCTTTCAGACAGAAAATCAATAGGGAAACAACGTCCTTCAATGACACAGTAGACCAGATACATTTAATTGCTATTTTTAGAGCACTTCACCCAAAGTAGAAACTATACACTCTTTTCAAGTGCACATGGAACATTTTCCAAGATAGACCACAAGTTAAGCCACAAAACAAGTCTCAGTAAATTTAAGAAGACTGAAATCATATCAGGTGTTTTCTCTGACCACAGTGGTATGAAACTAGAATCAACTACAAGGAAAAAAACTGAAAAACACACAAACACATAGAAGCTAAATAACATGTTACTAAATAATGAATGTCTCAACAGTGAGATTAAGGAAGAAATCAAGATACCTTGAGACAAACAAAAATGAAAACACAGCAACCCAGTATTTATGGGACACAGTGAAAGCCGTCCTAAGAGGGAAATTCATAGCAATGCAGACCTACCTCAGGAAACAAGAAAAATCTCAAAAACTATCTAACTTTATACCTAAGGGAACTGAAAAAAAAAAACAAAAACCCCAGCAAACAAAGCCCAAAGTGAGTACATGGGAGAAAATAATAAAGATCAGAGGAGAAAGAAACAAGATGGAGACTAAACACACACACACACACACACACACACACACACACACACACACACATATCAATGAAACCAAGAACTGTTTTTTTGAAAAGATAAACAAAATCAGCAAACCTTTAACCTCATCAAGAAAAAGAGAGAGGACCCAAATAAATACAATCAGAAATGAAAGAGAAGATGTGACAATGGACACCACAAAAATAAAAAAACATTTTAAGAAAATACCATGAGCAACT